TTGGAATTAATTTTAATTTGTTCACATGCTAGCTAGTTGTTCCTCTGTAACTGAATAATTATCTCATTTCTGTTAATTTGCTGTTTCATCACATACTGTGTTATTTATACATACAGTTGGACATGCTTCTCTACCCTCTTTTACTAAATTATCTTTTTGCATGCATACCTACCATTAAAGTATGTAGCTTTATGCCAGGCATTGGCAAACTGTGGCCCACAGGTCAAACCTGGCCCACCACCTTTTTTATAGTTTTTATAGTTTTAACTGGGAAGCAGTCACACGTTTCTGTATTTTTTATGGCTACTTTTAAACCACTGTAGGTGAACAGTTGTAACAGAGATTAAAAAGGTGCAAAAAGCCTGGAATACTTACAATCTGGCCTTGTAAAGAGGATTTATCAACTTCTGCTTTATCCTATGTATTGGTATCTGGTAGAGCAAATTCTGCCTGACTTTTCTCCTTTAACAGTTTCTTGGCATGTCTAACATGTTCTCCACGTGACCGTTAGTCAGCCTGCCAAGGTTGCCTGGTTTTCCCATTTTGGGGGTGGGGAGGTTGAAGAACTACAGAGCAAGCAGAATAGGACTTTGGTTGTATTTAATTTGTAGTTTAGGGAAAGAAGAATCTGGTGCTTTGCAGTGTTGGGTCTTTCAGTTCCAGGAGTAGAAGTTTTACATTTATGTCTTTCAGTAAACTTTATTATTTCATTTGTCTCTTGTATATTGAAGTTTATTCCTTTATGTATTGCTGCTTTTTGTTGCTGTTATAATTGAGATCTTTTCCCAGTTGTATTTTACAGATGACTCTTGAACTTTTGTTTGTATGTTTAATTCCTGATTCTCGTGAGAATAAGCTATTAAGATTGTTGACTTTTAAACGTGATTCATTTAGTTAGCAATCATTGTCTGAACTTACCTGTAATTGTGTCATTCCTAGAAATTTTGAGTCTCTGTATAGTGTGAGTTACAGAGTTAAAGTGGTTAGGGAAATGAGCTTTCACCTCCTTAAGTGTTCGGTTTTTCTTTTATATTGTGCAGGTCACAGTAAATAGTGATTAAAGCAAGACTAGTCAGTTTTGTGCCCTTTCAGTATTTGTTTTAAGAATATGCAGGAGAGAATTTTAGCAAGCTGTCTGTCAAGCAGTCTGTGTCTATTTGCAGAACCATCTGTTGCTTTTAATGTGGGATGTAGAGGGGTGTGGCTGTCACACAGGTGGTCAGACTCAGTCACTGCTTTCCTATGGAAAGGCATGGGGTCGTGGGATCCTAACCTAGTGCTTGTCCTTTGGAATTGATACATGAGCAGGAGATTTTTATACATCAGTTGGTGCTTCCCTAAATACATTCTCTGTAAAGCATTTGATCCTTTACCCCTAACATCTATACCTTAAGAATGTGAAATTATTTTGGATTTCAAAATCTTGTACTTGCCTTGAGCAGTGAACACATGTGCCATAAATCCAGTGTGTGTTAACCTTTATGAATTTATCTTTTAATGCTGTTTTCCCACCTTATATTCATGCCTTCTCCTTAAGTTATTTTTGTGGGGGGCGGGGGTTGAGAGAGGGTTTTGAGAGAGTTCAGACTGTTACTGACTCACCATATAGCTCAAGCTGGCCTTGAACTTCCAGGGACTGTCCTGCCTCAGCTTTCCAAGTGCTGGAGTTACAGGCATGTGCCACCATTCCTGGCAACTTTTAACTGCTTATGTTGGTGAAACATCTTTATTTTACTTTTTTGGGGGGAAGGGTTGTACTAGAAATTGTACCTAGGGCCTTCTCATTGAGCTACACGCTAGGGTTTTTAAGGCAGAAGATTGTTGAGTTGCTAACTTGTCCAGGCTGGGCTTGGACTTGTGTTCCTTCTTCCTCAACTTGCAAGAGTGTTGGAATTGCCTTTTTACTTTTGTTGACATTAATGAAGTGAAATTTCTGGGCATGATGATACATGCCTAGTAATTCCAGCAGTCTTGAAGGCTGAAGCAGGACAGTCACAAGTTTGAGCCATCCTGACAATTTAGTAACTTGGCCAAGACATTGTTTCAAAATAAAAGCAAATAATGTTAAGAGTCCTGGAGATATAACTTGGTGCAAGAACCCTGGATTCAGTCCCTGTACCACAGAAAGAAAATAAAATGACCCAACCAGATTGCAAAAAACAAACAAACATCCCCCAAAACAAATCCTTCATGTATGTATTTCCTAGAGAACATGCGTGTTTCTCCAGTGTGTTGATACTATTCTCAGTCATTATTATTAACATCATTTGGTTGTATATAAATATAGCAGTGCTGTGATAGACTGTAGAGATGTGTCAGGCCACATGCTTGAGTCACAGAGGGAGTTTTGACATTTGGGAATGTTTGATACAGGCCCTGATCTGACCTAGGCAAAGTAGAAACTATTTTAGATGGCTAAATAGTGTAGAGGAAGTTACAAGCAAAAACACTAGTAATTGATAGCTTTTATTGAGCATTTTATTGTGTTCTAGGCATGGTAAGGGGGTCTGATTACATCATATTTTTGCCCTTTTAGTAACAGTATGAAGGACAATTACCTATTGTTATTTTACAGGTGAAGAAATTAAGATTTAGGTTACATAACTAGTAGACCAGAGATTCAAAGCAGCTGTTGGGCCCCAGTGTCAGGTTGTAAGAGCAGAGTGGCCGGTATTTTTGGCAGGAGCGGGGAGTGTGTGTGTATTCACACATGTGTGCGTCCTCCACTGCTGAGTGCAGGAGGGCTGGGCAGATGTGCGGCTGGACAGTGGTGCCGTCAACTTGTAGAAGTCCTGTAATTTCAGATTGAATGCAACTTGTGTTTCTTACCTTTTCTACTTTTCTGTGTTCACATAAAGGAGGAAGAAAGGTTTAACAACTGTCGTTTGTTTAGACTCTGTGAATTTTGTCTGTTGAATTAACAGCAGCGTGATTTAGGTGACAAAAGCATGTTAGGCAGGTCCCAGGAACCTCCTGTGGTTATGCCTTTGCTAGGCCCCTTCTTCCTGTCCTGTTGTGGCCTCAGCAAGAGGTCTACAGCCTCTAGTTGTCTCAGGTTTTGGTTTTGATTTTTTAGGGGGCCCACAAATTTAATTTACATTTCAAGTGGAATGTATAATTTGTCTTGTTTTTAAATCAAAAGAGTAGGTCAAAGAGAGGGAGATGGCTCGGGAGCATAATGGGGGCGTGCAGGAGTTGGCTAATGGAGCTGTTCATGCCCTCCTGCAGGTCAGAAGGCTATTGCTTCTGAGTTTAAAGACCCCTGACTGTGTTTGTTAAATATAGATATTACATATACCCTATACTCATTCCAGATGCTTCTCTGAACTTTTTTGGTGTGGTTGAAATTAAGATGGAAGCAGTAGGTTCTTTGCCGCCTTAGTTCATTTATCTTAAGCATGGCTAGACTGTTCAGATGGCCGTCAGCGAACACGTGACTCCATCTGAGCCCTGCTTAGAACGTGAGGCCTTAGCTTGGCTGTCATCCAGTCACAAAAACAGTGTTTCTTTGGTTTATTCTAAATAGTGGCTGTCCCTGGCCACATCAGTACTTTGTACAAGCACTCCTACGAGCATGGGCGCTGCTTCTGCTGCCCACATAGGGGATGATAAAGATTTTGCTGCCCTGCGGCCCTGCCCCACAGGTCCCTCTACCCTGGAGGCTGGCCCACAGCCAGATTCCCAGCAAGCTATAAAAGCGAAAGTAAGCCTTTCTAATTAGTAGCTGGGAAACCAGTTTGCTTTCCAGACTCAGCATAGCAGCCCAGAGAGCCCAAGCTCTGCAAAGACAACTCACTTGGGAACAGCTGATCTTAGGGTCTGTTCTTTGATTATGATACATGGCCCAAGCAAAATATTTTGTGAAAAGTTAACTTTTTTTCTCTATTAGAGTGGTGTAACTTGGAGAGTTACAATATATATATATATTGTGTGTGAGCGTGTGTGTATATATATAGATGTATATATATATTTTTTTCAAAGTCACTTTCCTACTAGGCCCCCCTTTAATACTAATACAAATCCTGATATTTTATGAAAGTATTCTAAATATGAAATTATTTATGCTGGCGATACATGTAGGTCAGTGATAGAGTGCTTACCTAGAATGAGTGGGGTCCTGGCTTTGACACCCAATATTTGAAATGATTCATACATTTTCAACTCATATTTGTAAAGCCTGATGTGTATGCAAGCACACTTTATATATAAAAAACATTCGACAGGAGAAACTCAAAACCTCCACAATTTAGCGCTTCATGTTGTGAGAATTCTAAGATAGGACAACTTGGTCTGTCTTTTGTGTTTGGCTTCATTTGTAATTCTGAAATTAGCAGAGATGAATCCTGGACGCCTCTCTCTTTGGGAGTGTAATTTCTGCTTCTGAGGCACACTTCAGTGTTGCAGCACCTGCAAGGGACTGGAGACTGTTGCTGGCCTCTGGCTCCTAGGCCTCGGAGCCTGCAGGACAGCTCTTTGATTTATCTGTTTGCTTTGCGGGGGAGGGGCTAAGTTTTCTGGTTTTGTTCTCTATGTTGTACAGTCACAAGATACATCTATTGTAAGAAATACTGAATGTTGGGTGCTTTTCTCTCATTTTTTTTGCTTGCTTATTGTACCAGGAATTCTAGGGAGGGGGGAACACATTTTGCTTGAGATATATCTTCTGTTTGTGTGGCTTGTATTTGCTGACATTATTTATATCTTTCTATTGAGTTTAGGTTCACTGCTGGCAGAATTTTATAGCTACTGAGATATTTCCATTTTACCTTGGAGTTCACATGAAAATTTCACGAGCTTTTAACATTTAGTTGGAAATTTCACTTTTATTATCAATCTTTGTTTCTAAGAGATAGGTCAAGAGTAGCACATTATTTTTTATTTATTTACAAGTTTCAAATTAATTGAGATATGAAAACATTTGTTTATCTTCACTTTTGACCTTTTAAAAGACTTTCTGGCTTGGGAATAAATAACACTGAATTTTCTTTTTTATTTTAAAGACTTCCAGCTGAACTCTCATCTCTCAACACTGGCAAATATTCATAAGATCTACCACACCCTTAATAAGCTAGTAAGTCAATCTTTTTAAAGATAAAACTGCCAACTGCTTAGTTATTTTGAGCAAGTGTATTTGATAAAAATATTAAATTGTGAATATCAATTGATTTTGAAAATAATTTTAACTTGATTGGCTAGTGTGTGATTCTTGATAATAATAAAGATATTTCTTACAGAATCTAACAGAAGACGTTGGCCAAGACGATCACCAAACAGGTATCTATAAATGCTAATACTCTGCAATTTTAAGTAAATGTAATACAAAATTATGAGATCTACTAGCCACACATGCTTTGTACTCCATTAAGGGGATGTTACTTGGTTGAGGGTGTCTTTCAGAGGGTAGTGAAGACAGCCATGTTCCAGTTACTTCCCAGGAGTAGGAAGTTGTTCTGGGGATTCTGGTTATAGCAAAGCACTTTGATTCCTTTGAAGGGGCTAGGAATTCTCTGATGGTTTTAAGATCTTCCCATTTTTTTTTTTTACTGGAGTATTTTTAGGTTATGCCAAAAAAGTGCTTTACACATTGAAGTTGAAAGGTATTTCTATAAGTGTTTGTTAAATTGGGCTGAAAAGCTATTTGATAAGTAGTATTGTCTATGCACACGTGTGTGCATGCATGCATGCATGTGTTTTATATAGGTCGTGAGGATTTATAAGTAAGAAAATTGAAACTTGATTATTATAAATTATTCTGTAGCCTTATGGTTCTTTAGCCTTACAGTCTTTGTGAGAGGGCTTGTTTAAAACAGATTGCTGGGATCCAATCCTAGAGTTTCTGAATTTCTAGATTTGGGGCAGGCATCAAGGCCTTTGTAAGAAGCACCTGAGTAATGATGCAGCTGGTTTGGGGAACCCACTTGGAGTACCACATCTCTAAAATGTTAGTAATTATGAAATTCAGAAACTGTTTGATCTATAAGTTATTAAGGTTCTAGCAAAAAATGTTAAAAGTTTGAAAGTTACTGCAGTAGTGTATGAATCCATGTGTCTTAGTCTACTTAGGCTACTGTTAGAAAAAGTACTTTGAGTAATTTATGAACAGCAGAAATTTATGTCTCACAGTTCTTGGGGCTAGGAAGCCCAAGATTAAGGTATTAGCAGATTTTGTCTGGTTAGGGTTTATTCCTCTTTGATAACATCTTTTTGCTGTATTCTCTCATAGTGGGAGAAAGAGGCAACTCTATAAGGGCACTAACTATGGTCATGAAGGCTCCAACTTCTCTATCTGTACACTTCTCTTTACACCAAAACACTAGGGGATTAGATTTCATCGTAAGAATTTTAGAGCAGTACAAACATTCTGGCTATAGCAGTGCTTGCTGGAGAATTTTGAATAGCATAAAACTAATGGAGTGAGAAGTTGTGGGCCTTCTTCGTGTTTCACTTTCTCCCAGCATACTGTTTAGTGTTTACAGTTTCAAACATTTTTATGCACGGGTATGTTTGTTACGTACTTGTTTTTTTAACTTAGCATTGATTTCTTCATTCTGAAGTATGTTGGTGGGCTGTGAGGATATTTTAAAGTAAAAAAATTTTAATTTTTCACACTCAATTTTTTTGTGATATCTTAGGTTATCTTTCTTTAAACTGAAATAGTCCTCTCAATTCTGAATGCTGTAGATTATGTAGTTAATTCTGAGGTTTTGATTTGAATGAGTAATTGTTTTGTAGTAAATTTCACACTTAGATATTTTACCTGAAAGGTTATTTTTAATAACTGTAAATTGTAAAGAATATGAAAGAAAACAGTGCATTTGGCTGTAGGCCTGTTTAGTATATTAGGCCTATTATTTAGCTTTGGGGTATAGTAGCTATGCCTGCTGACATGTTTGGTCTGTGACACAGTCGTACAGTCTCGTAAGATAAGTGTTCAGCCAGTGTCACTTAGTGTTAGTTTTTGTTTAAAGTACTCTACTTCATTAACATTTCAACTCTAATAGCATCACTTGTGACTCCCATAACCAGAAGAGTATATTTTAAAAATTAAACAGTGTAAAACTTACACTATTTGGATATCTGAGCAAGTTTAGTCACTGAGCTGCTGCTTCTCTTGCTGTCTTGGCCCAGCAGGAGTTTGAGTAGCATTAACTGCAGAACTAATGCATGTAGAAGAGCCAAACCCAGTCAAAGCAGGCTGGATGCCTCCCTGCCCTGTCTTCTCTTCGCACTGCTTTAGTACTCTTCAAGGAAGAGGTGCATGAGATTAATAGTTCAGTTTATAGGAGTAGCCCAAGTAGAGGGAATGTATTATAAATGTCAGGGCACAACAACAACAGAAACAAAAGTGTTAAGGAAGGTAATAGGTATCAGAAGTCAGTATTATTTAGAGGGAAAGAAAAGATTTCTTTTGTCTTAGATAAATTTTAAAAAGATAAAAAGATAATTCTTTAAAAAGATAAAAATTTGTGCAATTAGGTAATAGTTTTCATTCAAGCATTTCAGTGAATGATCTGTTCAAGAAAATGAAACAAGACATTAGGTAATGGCAAGATGTCTTAAATGTAGTCTCTTTATCAACTTAAATTATTAAGTCTTTGTGACATTGTTCAGGGAGGAGTGAGTTGAACTAGGTATATAAAAATACTAAAGCGTCAGAATGAACCATGTAAAATGTTATCAAGTGAAAAAAAGCTATACAATAAGCTGGCTGAAATGAAAAATTAGGAAAATTTTTATATTGAAACATGCATTTTATAAATACACGGGAAGTGGGGCACATACCTAGACATCATTTAAGAGTAACGCAGGTGGCTATGGCTGTAATTCCAGCACTGAGGAGCTAAACAAGAGGATCACCAAGTTCAAGGACAGCTTGCACTACATAGCAAGACCCTGTCACAAACAAGCAAACATAAAACAAATAACACATTTGGAGCTGGACTTGGTAGCACATGTCTGTAATCTCAGCACTGGGGAAGCTGAGACAGGAGGATCACATCAATTCAAGCTTAGCCTGGAGTACTTAGCAAGAACCTGCCTTAGACTATCTCATAACCCTCCCGCACCACGGAGTAAAATCTTTAGTTAGATTGTTATCAGAGCAGCAAACTGGGGATGGACAGTCAAGGGCCTTTGGTCTGATTTAGGTGAACTCAAATTACCCTTTAAGCATGATATTTTTTAAGTACTAGGATAAACCTTTTAAAAAGGTTTGGTAGTCTTTACAGTTGCTTAATGTTGGAAGACTATTATTTGTTTACTATCTGGTTTATTTGAAAATATGATCAATTTTAAAAAAGCTGTTCTCTTAAATAGTAAAAACTGTACCTCTTATTGTTCTTCTAAATATCCATCACCTGATTAAGAAAGAACTTCTGGTGAGGGGTGGATTGATTCACTCTGCATTCCGTGTAGAAATGCTTGAAACCTGTCCAATTTGTGAAGATCAATGGCTCAGAAGTGGTTTTGTGTAAGGACATAGCTCAGTTGTAAACCGTTTCCACCACTGTAGAAGGCTGCCCATCTCAATCCCAGTACTGAAAAACGAAATGCTTTGTAATCATTTTTAGTTTATCAAAACATCAGGCTGAATACTTTGCCTTTACCTATACTATCACATTTTGTAGCTCATTCTCTGAACTACATTATTGCTTATATTATTTTTGTCCTATTTTTTATAGTTTAAAGATACAGGGTATTTTAAAAATGTTTTGAGGTAGTATCTTGTTTCTGTAATTGAAATAGATTGATAGAAATGTGAGTAAGCAGAGTCTAAATTTAATGATACAACTAAATATAAGTTTGTAGAATATTTATTTAGATTTCATAATTTTTATTAGAAAACTGCCAGGATTTTTTTTTTTAAAAAAGAAGCAGACAGACACTTCTCATATTTATGTTTTTAAAAAATTCTACCTGGCAGGAAACCTACGGTCAAGAGTTCATTTTTCTGACAGATGGGATAAAAAGTCAGAAATAATGATACATTATCTAGTCATAGGTATTTCAAGTTCTAGAAATGTACTTTGTATTTAAGCAGAATTTGATTTATGCGTGTTTTAGGAATGCATTTATATAAGTATTGCAAGTCTACTGAATGGCTCAATAATGTAAATACCTTTTTACTGTAATAAGATACTATGTTAAGCTTCTACCGTGAAAACCAAGGTAAACCTTTGCATGTGCCCTTAAAAAATCTTGGTTGTTCTTGCTCAGTTAGGATCAACAAGTGAGGGAAGAGGAGCAGTTTAGAACAAATAGCTTGGGTGTTTTATTGATTTAGTTGATCTTGACACGTTATTACATTAAGTAAATGTCTTTTCTGTCACTTTAAAATGTAGCTTTTTTAGTAGTGAAACTTTTCCTGTCATCTTGGGTCGCAGAGTGATTCTGTTTGGAAAAGCTGAGCTTCATGAGCCATGGACACTTGCTTCCCTGAGATTGAGTGTCCCATCCTTACTGTGAGGTGGTGGCTGTGAGCCTGTGAGTGCTGACCTGGGGGGGACATCAGGGAGGCTGAGTACACTTGGAATGTTGGTGAAAACTGATCCTGAAACAGTCACTTACTTTAAAAGAGAATTGTGTCTCAGCTAGTCTGAGATAGAAGTTTTGTCAAAGTGAAAAAATAAGTAGCCAAATTTGGGGTGTTACAAATAAATGAGTTAAGTTTTACACAGATGCAAGAAAAATGATTTGTGAGACTTTAAACACAAAGCATTAAGGAAAAAAATGTTCGCTTACTGTTTGGTGGTTCACCAAAAGTACCCTATGCTTGATAAGTAGGCTTCAGAGAAAACCAGACATTAAACCAGTGTTTATGAAGAAGCAGATGGCAGAGAAGCCAGTATTAAGTTTTATTGGAGAAGACATTATTTGTGTTCATTTCCTATGGACTGAGGAGATAAGTGCATTTTCTGTTGTTCTGCAAATACTTGGAGATGGGGACAGGTTACTGCCAGGCCAGATGCTCAGAACTAAACCATGACTGCTCATGGAAGAAAACGTCCTTCCTTCACACCTGCACATCCAGGGAGGGAGAAGCACACTCCACGCGTGGTCTTCATTTCCAGACAGTGTTGCAGGTTTCACAGCCAGGCGGGACAGACTTCATTCAGCGAGCCCCTCTGAGGCATTCATTGACAAGGACAAATCCTTTTCCTGTATGTTGGCAGCTTGCAAAAGCTTAGGTCACTCCAGTTCTTTGGATCTTTTATTATATTTTAGTTTTGTTTGTAAATAAGGTACTATTTTATAGGGAAGATGAGAGGGGCATCCCGTACTCACCCAGAGAGCTGGGGGACAGCTCTCTGACCCTCCAATTTTCACTGCCCTAGGGGAGGTTGTTTGAAACAGGATCTTATTTATGTAGTTTGGGCTGATCTCAAACTCACTATCTAACCCAGGCTGGCCTCAAACTTGACCTCCCAAGTGCTAGATTGTAGAATTGTACCAACTATGCCCAGCTCACTGCTTTTGTAGAGAGAGACAAAAGGATGCTTTGTGTGTCTCTAATGGGCTCTCTTACTTTCTCACCTCAGAAGGGCAGGTCTAGTTGGGTCCCAGGAAATACGGCTGGGCATCATCTGTTTCAGACTGCTTGCACCTGGGCTAAGGAGCAGGCAGCCTGTGTGAGCATAGGTGTTTTCCACTGTAGGCCCAGGGCAGGAGCCGCATTTGGGCAGCCACTTCAAGGCCTATCAGAAGGGATACCTCCTGAAGCATATACCCTAGGAACTTGACATGACAGCAGAAGTCTAAATAGAACCTGGGATTCAGGTTTCAGGCCTGATCCTTGTTCTTAGCAGGGTTGCAACTTCAGCAATTGACAGCTTTTTCCTTGCCTTAGGAGGTACTGTCTTGACAGAGCTGTTTACATTCACTGTGTCTGTCCATCCTTTATCCATCCATACTGTTAGCTACATGCACTGAGTGCCTTCCTTACTCCATGGACTTACGTTGGTAGACTGCATCCTCCTGGGAACTGAGACAACAACTTGATTTTTCTCTGCAAGGTTGTCCTTGTCTTTTCCTGCCTCTTTTATCCACAGCCTCAGGGATTCCTCCTCAGTTCTCTGCTTCTGAGTGTGCTTTCATGACCTCACAAGAGTGGCAGTAGATAGGCTGAAAGTTGGCATTGCTGCTGGGCTGCAAGTACCACCCAGTGGTTAGCACCAAGCATTTATTGAATGAATAGCTATTTTTCTTTCTGAAAATGCTGATAGAAAGATAGATAGATAGGTAGGTAGATATCACCATTCCCATTCTCCAAATGATGAACAAGAAAGCCAGAAGAAGTTAGTGGTTGCCTCGACCACAGTTACTGAAGAGCTGGAGCTCTCTCATTGGGTGTGGGTGCCCAAACCCTAGCACCTCCACAGGCTGTTCTGTCCACACTGTTCACTGTGAGTCCAGGACTGTCTGCCAAGGGCTAAGTGGGAAGATACATGGCCTTGGAAAGTCACCTGAATGCCTGATCCTTGATTTTCCTCATCTGTTAAAGAGATAATTATTTTCACCCTACCTATCATTCAGGATTATTGTGGGAACCAAATGGCAGTGGTGACAGCACTTGTGCCAAAGTAAGGTATTTAAATATCTTATGATTTATAATGGTTTAAGATAGTCTGAAGCAAGAGTGCTTGAGTTTGAATCCCAGTTTTGCCACTTAACTAACTTTTTGCTTCATTTTCTTGCCCATCTTGGGCAACAGTGACGTTTTTCCTCATAGGTTTGTTGTGAGCTTAGCTTAGTTAATAACACCCAAGTGGTAAGAACAGGGCCTGGCTCACAGTAAGTTTTCAGTAAGTGTTCAAAGTTGTCTTTACTGTCTTTTCTTAAATTTTAACACCTTTTACCAAATGAAAGTTTCACTTCCTGACTATAAGCCTTGACTGAAAGAACGGAGTTCTTCTAGGGCAGAAACAATAAAAGTGTTTGGGGAAAACTTGTTCACATTCATGTCAGACTCTACACCCAAGAAATTCACAGCCTGCTTTTTCGTTTTTTGTTCTAATTAGGTATCTCTTGAAGCTTGTGTTAAGACTCGAATTTGTATGCATTTCAGAGTCAAGGTTACTGATCGAGCTGGACTTGCCTAGTAAAGTGTATGAATATGGTAGTAGGACAGTTATTCAGAAGAAACACTCATGTAAGAGGAGAAAGGTCAGGTGATTTCTGTTAGATTTGGGAGGCTAAATTGAAATTTTTCTCATTTCTGTTTCTGGTATGATTTAGGGTAGTGAGGAGAGTTTACTTAAGTATGTCATTGTTAGGTTCATTTCTTGACTAATTTTTTTTTCAAAGAGGAACTAAAAACTGTTTTCTCTCCTTATACCATTTTCTGATAACTTGTAAGCCCTTTGTAGTACAAGGCACAGATGTTTATAATTCAGCAGTAATCCTGCCTGAGAGGGTTGCCATGTGGCATGCTTTAATTTTGTGCTCTCTGAATTTGTCCTGTAGGAAGCTTACGGTCTTGCAGTTCTTCGGACTGCTTTAGTAAAGTGATGCCCCCAAGGAAAAAGAGAAGACCTGCCTCTGGAGATGACTTATCCGCCAAGAAGAGTAGACATGACAGGTACAGTACAGAAACTGTATATCCACATCAATGATATGCATGTTGAAGATACATATGTCCACTCAATGTAATTTGAGTCATCTTAGTATGCAACTAGAACGTTACTTTGGTTCTGCTAGATGATCTTTCAAACTGTAATTATTTAATAGTGCTTATTTTATGGCTGGATTTATAAAACATGAAAACAAAATAGGTCATTTGAGTTCTTAAAAATCAGACTTATGTAACCTACTCATCCACCAAAACTAGGGTAGTGTTAATTTTTCTTTGAAAGCTTGAGTCAGTGCCTGTCGAGGACCACGGAGTTGATGTCTGTTCTTTCTGGGGCCCTTGTTCACTGTTTGTCATTGCCACAGGGCTGGAGCGCTGCCCTGTACTTAGGTGTTCCACCTCCTTGGAACACTAGCCATGCTGAGGTTTATTCTCAGATGGGTAAGAACTTGATAAAAGCTACAGAAACAAACTGTTAAACTGCTTTCCTTTCAGATAGTTGATCTGTTAGTTTTGGTAACTCCAAAGGACTGTGTGTATTTCAAGCATCTTTGTTTCACCTCCTTCTCCGTTTTCCTTCCTTTTTTGAAATGGAGTCTGGTGTATTCTGGATTTAAAGGGTCTCTGCTGCTTTAATCTCCTAAGTAGGTGGGACTATAGGCACATGCTACCAAGATGAGTTTTTTTTTTCTTTTTTTAAACAAGGGAAATCTAATCTTTTTGGCCTTTTGATTTTTTCTCCATTCTGGCTCTGCAGGTCAGTTTGCTAAAGGGCTGGAATTTGCACATCCATAAATTGAAGAGATTTAGGTGAAAACTTTTTGTTTCTCTCTTGCTGTGATATTTCATCACTACAGCTCAGTTGGAGGGCTAGAGATAGAAACTCTGAAAATGCGAAAATAATGCCACCATTGATATCACAAGCTATTTTGAAGATGATTGCCTGTGGGCCTGTGGTTTTAAGTTTTACAAAGCCATGTTCTTTGATCTTTTTGGTGTGGATGCTGTTATCAGGGAATTATAAATTCTAAAATGACATGGCATTTTGTTCCTATATATAATAGCACTTTTTTTTTTTTTACTACAGTCTAATATAGTTTATTGTATAAAACTGAATTAAAAACTGGCAGCCGAATTGTAGTTTCTGAATTTTATTCTTGGACTTGCTCTCTTTTTGTAAAGCAACTTTATTTCATACCATAAAGTTGATACTTTGAAAGTATACAGTTCAGTGTTTTGTTTTTTTTTAAGTTAACCAAGTCTTGCAAACCATCACTCCAAACCAGTTTTAGAACATTTCCATCAGCCCAGTCACATGCCTGACGCCCAGTCATAGTTACTCTTGGTTTCCAATCACAGCACCAGGCAATGGCGAATCCACACTTTATCCCTACAGATTTCCTTTCATGAACATTTTATATGTAAGTGATCTATTGCTACTTTCATTTAGCATACTGTCTTTGAGGCTCACCCATGTAATAGCATGTATCAATATTGTGTGTCTTTTATTTTTCTCAGTGGTATTCATGGTATGGTTTTGGTGCATTTTGATGTAGAACATTTTTCAGTGAAACATGTATTAAAAATACTATAGTGTCATACAAAGGCCTCCAGGTTATTGATTAATTATAGGCTTTGAACTAAGATAGGAATATCTAGACCCAGTATTAAAGTGTGGCACTGTTTGGCTAGTACCTATTTTTATTTCCAGGTAGTATGCCTGCCACCTGTAAAAGAAAGATGGCTTTGTGATTTGCAGTTTCAGTAATAATACCCTATAACCATGTTCTTTTTTTTTTTTTTGGTGATAAAACCCACACTCTGTATAATCAGGTGTATATATAATCTAGTGATTATCTAGGGCATGAATAAATGTTACTAAGAAAAAATTATGCAGTGTGTGATATTTTAATATACATTACGTAAATAACAAATATGGACAAAACTAACATATATGAATAATGTATTAAAATGTGTATACTCATAATTTGAACCATCGTTTAAAGCTACTGCTGCTTCTCCCCTCTCCACGTAGGGAAGCTCTTCATCCTTAGCCTGGTTATGAGCTCAGGGATTCCTACCGAGTTGCAGGAGGAGGCTGTGCGTGAGATTCTCCAACTTAGGCTGGTTCCTCCATGGTGCTGGAGTGAAGTGGGGACAGCAGCGGCCAGGGTTCCCTACTTTGTCCTGAGGCTTGGAGGATTACAGCAGTCAGGGAGACTCCAAGAGACTGTCTTGTCTGCCTTACACCTGCAGTTTTTTCTAGAAAGCGTGGATGTGGTTTTGTTTCTTTTTATTTGCTTAATCATCTCTGTGTTGCCTATGATTGACAGGTGGTTCTTTAGGCAATGCTTTGCCTGACAGTAACTTAATGGAGTGACACAAGTTGTTTTCAGAATCATAAATTGAAGAAAACACCTGAGACGTTTCCACTGTTGTTCTGTGTTTAATTCTGGCTGGCGAGGTAGAAGAGAATATACCGAATAACTTCTATTTAATTCCTCATGTTTTTTTAAAATCCGCAAAAAACCTGTATTAAGTACTTACTATTTAATTCTTAAATGAAGGTATGATTATTCTAATACTAGTTATAAAACCTTGAAGTTGTAAATGCAGAAAATAAAATACTTAAAATACTAATTAAACAGATAGATGGCTGCTTAAGTAAAGGAGTAAAAATTACCTGTTACGTTAAAGAGCTCAGTATTCTTCAATAACTTAAAACTGCTTTTTCAATCTTTAGCATGTATCGAAAATATGATTCAACTAGAATTAAGACGGAAGAAGAGGCCTTCTCAAGTAAGCGGTGCTTAGAGTGGTTCTATGAATATGCAGGTAGGTAATCATTCGTAGCGTATAAGACTGATCCTGGTGAGAATAGGAGGTACCTTGAACTGGGCATGGTGATGTATGCTTATAGTCCCTGGATTTGGGGAGGCTGACTGGAGGACCATAATTTCAAGCCCAGCCCAGGCAATTTAGTGAGACTCTGTCTTAAAATACAAAATTACAAAAGGCTAGGAATGTAGCTTGTGCAAATACTGTGGGTTCAATTCCCAGCACCAAAAATCAATGTCAGTCCATCCATGCAGCCTTTGTGGTGGCGAAAGAATTTTAAATTGTATGCTTTCGAATTCATTGCATGTGTGTACGTGTTGTATGTGTGTGCTTATACCTCTGTTGGAGAGAAGAGCAGTAAGGGAGGGGCAGAGTTGAAACGGATGTTCTATTTATAACTAGCAGCTAAGCCAAAGAATTCAGAACATTAGAGGGGAACTGAAAAGATGAAATACTTGGGAGAAAGGCTGTGGATTGCTAGGAAACCTATTTAGGTTGCTGATAATGGGTAATTATTTGGTTTAAGTACTGAAGTTAAAATAAGCTTTGCTGTTTGGAACTCTTGTGTAGTGCAGTGGAATTTCTTTATATCAAGTGTCTGCTTTGAAAGATCATTTGGCATGAAGTGTTGTCACTTAAAATGTCCTAAATTCAGGTTTATTTTTGCAACTTATAATTGATTGGATAAGACAGTATTGCAGTCTAGGGGTTGTTTGTGAGTGTATATGGTATAAGCAAAAGAAAAAGAAAAGTTTTCAGATAAAACTTGAACTGTTGGCTCTTTGCCCTTCTTCCCTTTATTTCAGGCCCTTCCATAGCCTACCAGTTTGACTGTTTCAGCAACTTTTAGGTCAGGTTTCTTTTTCTGTCATCAGTCTGTATTCTAGATCAGGTTCCATGTGTCACTTACTTATTTGTCATTGGGAGAAATAAATGACTTCACAGATTATACATGTCACCTTAATGATATCTGCTCCCCTATCCTTGCTTAAAAATTCCTGCTACATGTGATACAAAAGAGAACTCACTTTCCCTTTCCGGGGTTGCTTTTCTCCGTGTTTTCATCTGATAACCATTCTCTTTAGTTCTGCTCTATTGATTAGTGAAAAACCTATATTGAATGCTAACCATTTAATTCTGTATTAAAGTATGACTGTACTTATGATTGCATATCTTAAGCCCCTTAATAGCCTTGGTAGCCTTCTTTGTACTCCTTTATGACTTTGTTTATAACTTGTTTTGGTTCCTTCTTACTCAGTATCAAGGTGCTCATTTACCCCTCTGGCCTGATCTCTGGTCATTTCCCCTCATTCTTACTCTACCTTTTTTCTGGTAAGAGTCTTGCACAGAGGAGGTTGGTCTAGGGCAGCCAGAGTGTTTTTGGAGATTTTCCGATTTAAACTGAGAGAAGAACATCTTTCTTTTTTGGCAGATTTGAAAAAACATAAATCTTGATGCATTTAGTGTTTCTTTGGACTTTGGATTTTTGTGAGGGAACGTCAGTATTTTTCTAATTCTCGTTAGAGAATTAGAAGCTGGATTTTGTTCAGAGGATGTTGTCACTAGTATAGACTTATATGCTAATAGAATTTATCTGTTTTCATGTTTACTTTATTAGAATACAAATCTTTTGAGGCTATTTTATAATCCAAGTAAAATTGGTTGACACTTCATTAAGGATTCAGGAAATAGACTTTGAATGAAGTATGAATCCATATTCCTGCTACTTTGATATGAAGATCTTTTGCTTTCCTATATTAACATTTATTTTAAGAAAATGTATTATAACAAGAAAATTTTATTTTATTTTATTTATTTTTTGATACTGGGGATCAATCTTACAACCTGTGCTTGCCAGGCAGGCACTTGTGCCACTGAGCTATATCCCCAGCTTTAAAAAGGAAATTTTAAACAAAACCCCACCAGAGTATATATCTTCATTCATAAACAAATGTAAATATCTTTTTTTTTTTTTTTATCGGTACTGAGGATCAAACTCATGACCACACACTTTCAAGGCAGGCGCTTATGCTGCTGAGCTAAATCCCCAGCAACATCTCTCTTTTTTTTTTTAAAGAGCAGGGTAGAATTTTCCTTTCTGTTTGCTGTTGTATATGTTTGTTTTTTGCTGCAGAAAAGTCACATTTTAGAATAAAAATTAAGCCCATCATTTCAGTTTCTTTGGAGGTGTTTGCTGGTTTGTAGTTGATCTAAGACGTTGGTGTTTATCCTTCTTTACCTCTTTTTACCCTTTGCATTTTTTTGCTGCTTTTGTGTACCTTATCAGTACGGAACAAGACTTTAAATTGGGATAACCAAAAGCCCCAGTTAGCACGTGCTTTCATTTTGCATACACCACTTCTTGAGTTAAGTGTAGGCCAGTATTTGAGTCAGCAGAGAAGAACCAGGATGGCTGACAGGGTATGCTGCGGGGTAGTGCATCGGTGGATGTAGGCTGGGAGGCCACATAAGGAAGGCCCGAGCGCCATGGCCGCGTCCTTTGCCTTAGAAGCAAGCCAGCTGGTTTGAGTTGAGGGTAAGCGCTGGCTCACTGCTCGAGCAAAATGGGCAAGGCAGCGGTAGGAGTGTGGAGTGAATGCGGTTGCACCTGGTCAGACCTTTAGTGATTCCTAGAGTTCTCAGTTCTGCTTCTCACACTGTCCTCTGCTTTCTCTGGTGTCCCACCATGAGCCAAGCTCCTCCCAGCCTCTGTCCAATCCCAATCCTGTGTTGGACATTCTAGGATGTACCTTCTTGTTTCTTACAAAATCCTTTCCACTCAGTTACTGATTTCCAGAAGTTTGATACAAGCCCCTCCGCCTGGCCTCCTCCTCCTCTCTGGTTGTAGGTTTCCTCCCCTTTTTACTTCCTCACTGCCCTTCTGTCCTAGTTAAGATGGATTGTGTGGGAGCGGGCAGAGTGTGCCATATTGACATCCATTGGAAACTGGAACTCATTTCTTTTCATTGGAGTAAACGAAACAGTTTTACATGCATTTATCAACTTACTTCCTATTTTGTAAGAATAAATTAAATCAAGTACACAGATGCCCATTTATTTTACAGAAATCACGCTGAAGCTCATGGTGCATAGAGCCTATTGAGAGGGCATATTAGTTCTGTAAGCCCTAGCTGTCATTTGTTAGTCTTTATTTTGGGTTACTTTCTTTAGCAGAATTATCTTTGGGTCTATGAAAATGAGAGTGGGGACCTGGAAGAGGTGCTTTCCAAATGAACCTCCAGTATCTTGTCATCTACTGCTTATTTTATTTATTTAATTTTAATTTTGGTGCCAAGAATTGAACTCAGGACCTCACACCTGTGGGTCAATTAGCAACTCCCTGCCCCCAATATATTCCAAAAATCAAAACCTGTTAGGAAATTGGGAATAGTTGGGTTTCTCCTTAAGAGAGTAATCTTTAGTTGCCAAGATTAAGCATTTTACACTACTGAAATAGTGGGAAAAACTCAAGTACCATAGATAGACATGCACATGTAATAGAATAATACAAAAAGTATTAGCTAACAAGAATAGTACAGATGTAGGTATTGTCACAGGAAGAGTATCTGATACCATGACAAAAACAAGGCCTAAAATTACAGGCACAATATGAGCCCATGTGTATAGAAGATAAACAAATTTTTATTTATTTATTTATTCGGCCTTTTTTGAGACAGAGCCTCACCATACAGTTCAGGCTGGCCTTGAACACACTTTTGTTTTGTTTTGTTTTTTTTTTTTTGTCTTTTTCATTTTTATCGGTACTGGGGATCGAACTCACGACTGCCTGCTTGCAAGGCAGGTGCTTATGCCGCTGAGCTAAATCTCCAGCCCCTGAACACACTTTTGTAGCCCAGGCTGGTTTCAAACTTGCAATGATCCTCCTGCCTCAGGCTCCTCAGTGCTGAGATTAAGCCATGTGCCACCACTCCCAACAAAGAAACAAATTTTAAAAGTGCCCTTCATTATGTATTTGCTCAGACACAAACATATAGCAAAAAAGTCTTGAGGATACATGCCTTGTTGGTAAGGGAAGGCAGAAGTGGCATTGGTTTTGCTTTTTTTCACTATTTGTGTATCTTTCTCTTTGGTATCTTTCCATATAAAGGAATGCAGACGTGTTAATGCATAGTACGGGTACTATGTATAGGGTCATGCACGTGGGGATGTGTGTTCTGTTAAACCCAGAGCTGACAGTGTCAGGTAAGCTAAATGATTCCATGAGAGTCAAACTGGTCTTACTTGCCAACTGTCTTTAAAAATTCCTACCCAGTGCCATTTGAGAAAGAAGCAAAGGATGTAAATTTTGGAAAGGAATAGGCCAAAATGGTCATTCATTGAAGATGAAATGATTAAATTATGTAAACCTGGAAAGCCAGAGGGAATTGCTGGGACAAATAATAGAAGAATTAAGTAAAAGTGTATTCTTTATATATACGCTTTTATAGGTGGTTTATTTGGGAAGGGCATTTTAAGAAACTAATAAGTGTTTGCCTCAGGGGACACGAGCATTAGTGAAAACCTTGCTTTTTAATAGTTTTTCTCTTTCAAATAAAATTTTGGGTCATTTTCAGATTTTAATTTCTACAATTCTCCATAATTAAGTAAACTTCTATTTTTTTTGATGATCACGACAAGAAAATTAGATGTGTTTAGGAGAAATATAAAAAGGGGAGAAAAAGAAAATTCATAAAAAGTTTGAACAGAGTCGAATGTATGGAACAAGACTTTTTTTGCAACAAAATAGAACATTTGTCATTAAAAAGAATATGTGGCTTAGAGAAAAAGCATCTGCTTTGGTCAGATTATGAGGAAGGCTCTGAAGTTGGACCTTAGGGAGAGCCAAAGATTTGAAGTAGAGAAGTAACATGAGACTTCCCGGGAAGCACTAGAGATGATTTTCCTGTTCATCCTCTGTTGAGAACAGCCACCTCTTTTGCTTTCATTGTAGTCTATTACTTTGTTTTGAAACACTCCTCTGATTTATCTTCCTTCTT